CTCCAGCTTCACCACAGCGGGCGCCCGGGAAGCCCGTCTGCTCCGAGCTGCTCCATACGGGGCCTGTCTCATGCCATGGCTGGATGCTCCCAGGGTTGTTTCCTGGAGCCCCGGCTGAGCATCACAGCCTGGTCTCTGTGCTCTGCCCGCCTGGGCTGATCTCTGCTCCGAAACTGCCCCCAGCCCAGGGGCCGCTGTCCTGTGGTGTGCTTTGGGCTCCGCCAGTGCTGGCTTTGCAACGTGCCCGCCTGCCCCCACCCCACACCCCCCCCCCCCGGCGCCCCCCCCCCCCCCGCGCCCCCCCTCCCCACAGCTCCCCCTCCCAGCCACTCAGGCTGCTGGCCACTGCCCCAACCTGGGGGTTCCCAGGCTCTTGGAGTGCAGATGGGTCTAGCACCCACCTGAGCTGCCCCCCAGGGCCTGGCTGCCTAGCCCCTAGCTCAGAGCTGGCCCTTCAGGCTGCCCCATAGCTTGAACGCACCTTGTCCCAGAAGCCCCCTCCCCCCCTCGGTTCGCTCTGCCGGGGCCCAGGGAGCACGTGGGGACACCTAGCCCGCACGGCGTCGCACGCTCACTACACGGGGACACGGGTCCCCCGAAAAGAGGCGCTAATGGCCCCTCTCGGACGGCCCCCGCGGAGTCCCTGGGGGACCCAGCAGACGTCCACAGGCTGGGTAGCTTCTCCCTCATGGAGTCACTCAGCCGGTCAGTGCCCTTCCCCCAGGCATCTGTCCTGCCCCCCCCCAATAGCCATCCACTGCTCCAGAACCACCACCCCGTCCCCCAACCCAGAGCGGGAAGGGCTCCCCGGATCCCCGCCCTTGGCACTCCCCTGCTAGCCACTGGGGCCACCCCTACAGAGGGGCAGGCCTGATACAGCAATTCTCCTAGCCATCGTCCCCCCGTCCTGGCCTGCACAGGGAGCTGGGTGAGCACCAGCCAGAGGCCAGGGCCCCCCCTGCACCCCAACGGCTCCTCCTTGCAGCAGCCTCCACCCCAGAGCAGGGGGCGGCGAGTCCTGGCCAGACCCCGGCTGCGTCCCTGGCGGCCAGCTCCGAGGCTGCTTTATTCTCTGCAGCCCCGTTCAGCGCATGCCCCCCGCTGCTGAGTGCAGAGACCACGTGTGCAGGGCACCCCCGGGGCAGCCAGGAACCCCCAACCTGCCCATGGGGTATCGCCAGGGAGATGCCAGCCTCTGGGGTGAGAGGGGGTGCGTGTCGGGGGGGCAGTACGAGGAGGTGCTGACGTGAGCCGGCCTGGCGCGCCCTGCGTGGGTCAGCGAGGGAGCTGGGCCAGGCTGCCGTGCCCGCGGGTTCGGGTCGCAGGGCATCAGCAGAGCCATGCGGTGTGGCTGCAGCCAGGGTGGCCCCACACGCCTGTATGGACACCCCGGCCCCTCCGCGGGCAGCCCCAGACGGCCCCGCCTGGCACCAGCCCCTCTAACCCCCTCTCTCTCGCTCTCTCTAGGAAGTAAAACCCAAGGCGTGGTGCAAGGCGTCACCTCAGGTACCAGCTGCTCTATTCCCCCGGCCCAGTGCCACGCGTGGGTGGCTGCGCTAACGAGCTCAGGCTAATCGGGGGCTGTGATGTCACCGGCCTAAAGCCCGTTATGTAACGGGGGCCAGAACACGGGCTTCGGAGCTGCTGGGCCAGGACTTGAAACCCAGCCGCCCCATGGCCCCACGCCTGACGGGGGGAGGGCTGAGTCTGCCCCACAGGGCACATGCAGGGGTGGGGGGAGGTGCCTGAGCTCCCTCGCGCTTGCTGGGGCTAGTAGTGTGAGGCCAGGCCTCCCGAGCGCTAGCCCCGGCCGGGCCCTGCCTGGCAGCCGAGGGGCCCCCCCCGGGCTGTAACGCGGCTCCGCCTGCCTCTTCCAGTGGCTGAGAAGACCAAGGAGCAGGCGTCCCAGCTGGGGGGGGCCGTCATCTCAGGGGCTGGGAACATCGCGGCCGCCACCGGCCTGGTCAAGAAGGAGGAGTTCCCCACTGACCTGAAGGTGAGTGTCCCCTACAGCGAGCCGGGGGGTGCAGCCTCTCCAGGGGGACAAGGGGCGTCCCGCACCCACGTCCACAGGGTGGCTATCAGGCCCTGCCCGGTGTGCCTGCCTCAGTTTCCCCTGTCTTCTGCCCATGAAAGGAACATCATCTCAGGGTCTGATACACCCCCCACCCCTGGGCACCATGGCAGTAATACCCCGAAAGCTGGCTTCCCTCCCCCTCTGCCTCCCCACCCCTGCTCAGGGGATCAACCCTCCCGCTCCAGCCCCCCCACCAACAGGAGCCCTGCCTCAGCCTCCCACTTCACAGGGGCTCCCAGCTCTGGCCAGTTCTCACCAGCTTCCCCCAGGCTCCTCACTGCAGCTCCGGGCGCTGCTCTGCGTCCGCTCGTTCCTGGCTCAGGCTTTGACCCTCGCTGCCTCCTTCCCGCTAGGCCGGTGCCCTCTCTGGAGCCCAGCGGGGGTCAGCTGACCTGGCCCAGGTCAAGGGCCAGCTCGCCCTGTGGCAGGGAGTTCCCCAGGCACAGCAGGGCCCAGACTGTGCCAGGGGGGCGAGCGTCTGGAAGGTGGAAAGTCCAACTGGGAATCGGGTTGAGCCCCGGCCAGGCTGCCCAGCCGCCCGCAGACACCGAGCCCCTCAGTGCAGCTGGTTTGGCTTCCCCAGCTGAGCGAGGCCTGGCCGGGGGGGGAGCAGCAGGAGGAGCGGGCGGCTCTTTGCTCGGGGGGTGACTCTCCCCCATCATGGCCAGGACAGCACCGCCCGCTGGCTGGAAAGGAATCGCTGAGGGGGCGCGTGGTGTGCACAGCGAGTACCTAAGGGGCGCGCTGGGATCCGCACACAGGCAGGTGGAGACGGGGAGGTGCATGCATGGACGTGTGCAGACATGTGTGTACATGGTTGTGTGCGTGTGGAAGGGTGTGTACATGCGGGGAGGTTTACGGACGTGTGCGTGCTTGTATGAGACCGTGCGTGGGTGCATGTATGTGCAAGGATGTGTAGGGATGTGTGTTTATACAAGGCCGCGCGTGGGGGTGTGCACGTGCAGAGATGTGTATAGACGTGTGTGTGCATGTACAAGACCGGGCGTGGGGGCGTGTGTGTATACAAGGCCGTACATGGATGTGTGTAAATGTATGGGGGTGTGCACATGCAGGGATGTGTGTGGACGTGTGCATGTGTGGACGAGCTCTTGTGTGTGTACATGCAGGGATGTGTATGGATGTGTGTATACAAGGCCATGTGTGTGGGGGTGTATGTGTACGAGGCCGTGCGTGGGGATGTGTGCGTGTACGAGGCCGTGCGTGTGTGTGTACGTGTACGAGGCCATGCGTCGGTGTGTGCATGTGCAGGGATGTGTATAGATGTGTGCATGCGTGTAAGAGGTCGTGCGTGGGGGTGTGCACGTGTACAAGGCTGTGCATAGGTGCGTGTATGTGCAGGGATGTGTGTGGACGTATGCATGTGTGTACGAGGCGGTGTGTGTACATGTGGGGATGTGTATGGATGTGTTTGTATACAAGGCTCTGCTTACGTGCATGTACATGCTGGGATGTGTAGACCGTGTGCGTGCATGTACGAGGCCGTGCATGGGTGTGTGTGTGTGTACGAGACCATGCATGGGGGGGTGTACATGTGGGGATGTGTATGGACATGTGTGTATACAAGGCTGTGTGTAGGTGTGTGTATGTGCAGGGATGTGTGTGGACGTGTGCATGCGTGTACGAGGCCATGTGTGGGTGCGTGTGTGTCTACAAGGATAAGGATGGGGGTGTGCGTGTGTATGAGGCCATGTGTGTACGAGGCCGTGTGTAGGTGCGTGTACGTGTACGTGTACGAGGCCGTGCGTGGGTGCGTGTACGTGCAGGGATGGGTAGGGACGTGTGTGTGCGTGAACGAGGCCGTGCATAGGTGGGTGTGTGCGTGTACGAGGCCGTGCGTGGGGGTGTGCACGTGCAGGGATGTGCACTGCCGTGGCTGCTGTCACTGGAGCCGTGCGAGCCGTGAGGTGCCCGACAGCTGCAGCCTCCACAAGCCGAGATGCCACAATGAGCCGTTTGCTTCCAGCTTATCCGAAAATAGCAACAGCTGAAACAAGGAGGCCGCGGCAGTGGGCAGCTGCGAGGGGAGGGCAGGGGAGGACGTGGCTGCGCCAGGCCAATCGCTGGGGCCGAGCTGAGCTCAGACCTCGGCAGCCTGAGCCGCCCCTGGGGGCAGGGGCTGTGAGCCCGAGGGGGCAGCCGGGGGCTCTGCACAGGCCAGCAGCCGGTGGAGCTGCCCCCAGGCCCCCAGGCCGAGGAGCCCAAACCCGTCGCACAGGCCAGCATGGGGCAGCCAGCCGGGGCTGGAGCCAAGGGGCCCAGAGGGGCACGGCCCAGCCTGGCTCCCCACCCATGACCCAGCCCTGTCCCCCTGCCCCCAGCCCCTCTGCCCCCCCACTCCTTGCAGCAGCGCGGGCAGGACCCAGCCGCCCCCTCAACCAGCCAAGCTCAAGGCTGCAGGGACCTGGAGACAGGTGGGGCTGGGCCAGGGGCATGGGGGGAAGGGGGCGGGCAGGGGCAGGGCCAGCCCATGGGCTCCCTGCGGGGGCAGTGGGGTGGCATTATTACCCACAGTGCCTCGGGGCCCACGTACAGCACAAAGGAGAGCAACAAATGGCCCAAACTGCCCCCCCATGGGTGTTCCTGCCCCCCACCGACCCCTGGCCCCAGAGCCCTGCTGCCCCCACACCTCTGCCCCCACCCCTGCTGCTGCCCCTCCCCCCGGCACCGGCAGAGCTGCGCATCTCTGGGCCCTGTGCTGTGGCACCCAAGGGAGGTGCCATGCTGGGGTCCCTCAGGGAGCTGTCTCGGTCTCCTGCACGAGCCAGTGAGCCCGGGCTGCCCCGATGCCGCTCTCTCCCCTGCAGCCTGAGGAGGTCGGGCAGGAGGCTGTGGAGGAGCCGCTGATTGAGCCTCTGCTAGAGCCAGAGGGTGAGAACTACGAGGAGCCGCCTCAGGTACAGGTGGGTGGGGCAAATTCTGCAGGGCAGGAGCCCGGATGCCCAGGGGATGGGCTCACCTGGCCCATGGCACCACCCACGCTGGTGCCCACCCACCCCGGCACCAGGCCCTGGGCCCACAGCAGCTGCAGCCCTTCTGCCCGGGCTGTGTGCGGCCCAGTGTCCCTGGTGCCCTGGGTACAGAGACCCCTCCCCAGACACCCTCAGGCCGGGGGTCAGAACCGTGGGGCAGTGGGAGCGGCCTGCCCGGAGCTCGCTGCCAGGGATGGGAGCCCAGCCCAGCCCCATGCCCCTCCTGGAGTCGGGAGCTCCTGGGCAGGGCAGGCTGCAGGGCCCAGCGGGGCTGCGGTTCTCTGTGGCTGGATCTAGTAAAGGCCCCGTTCCCCGGCCCCTCTGCTGGGTAACACCCGGTCGGCTGGGGGGTGACGTCAGGCTGAGCCTAGTGGGACACCCCGCCCCGCACTCCCAGCTCACACCGCACCCTGCCCTGTTGGAGGGGGAAGGCGCCAGGCCTGGTCACGGCCCCAGGGAGGAGCAGCCTGCGCTGGGGAGGTTGTCACCCATGAGCCTTCCGGCTGCTGGCCGGGGCAGGCTCGGTCCCTCACCCACTAGCCTGAGCAGATGCCCCCATGGTGGGCACTGCCCAGCCTGGCCCCAAAGCAGCCCCCGGCAGGGCCCATTCTGGGGCCAGGGCCTGGTCAGAGCATTCTGCGCCCGGCGGGTCTCGTCTCCATGGGCAGCCCTGAGGCTGCTCTCCCTGCACTTAGACTGTGCCAGCTGGGTCCGCTGCCTTGTGCAGACCGGACCGGGGGGGGGGAGGGAGGTCCAACCTGGCACAAAGGCTTCTGGGCATGCAGCCAGGGCCACAGCCCCACATGGAGCGAGTCTCTGGTGCTGGACCCACGTCACTGCCTGGCCTGAGGCACCTGGCTGGGCTGCAGCTCAGCGGTGGCTGCTGAGAGGTGCCAGGGCAGCTGGTCCCCAGCACGCGCTGGGGGCAGGGGCCCTGGGGCAGCCCCTGGCCAGGCCGCTCCCCCGCGTGGAGGCCGTGCTGGGTGCCCTGGCACCGCGCAGTCTCCAGCTCACGCCAGCCGCGGTCTCTCTTCCCCGCAGGACTATCAGGAGTACGAGCCGGAGGCGTAATGGCTGCGCCCACCCCGCCACCTCCACCAGCAGCACAATAATGACAATACCCCCTTGTGCCCCTCCCCGGCCTCTCCCCAGGCAGGTGCCAGCGCAGGGGGCGATGGCAATCCCCTGCCCCATTAAGTCACAAGTTCTTCCTGCAGCCCCGCGCCCAGGGGCCTCGCCGGAGGCCGTGTTGCTGTATCGTGTCCTGTAGTGTAAAGAGAAACTCGTCCTGCAGCCGCCCGCGCCATGTCCGCCCGGCCCGGCTTATCGCCCTGCGTCCCTCCCAGCGCCATAAGCCCGGCTGGCCCCATGTCCGGCCCCAGCATGTTTCACTGAGCCGAGCGGCCCGGCCGGCGGGAGCCCTGGTGTGGCACGCGCCCCTGGGGCTGCTGTACATTTGCTTGCACGCGCCTCCCGGTGATTCTGCGCCCGTCTTCATGGAACTTTTTTTGATATTCTGATGGATGGTTTATGCCCTTG